AACAAAATCTTTTTGTCAGTGCTCTTCCAAGTTATTCTTAACGCCATCAAACCCTGTATGTGCGAGTAAATCGACCTACTGATCTCTTCTTTAATTTATGCGAAAAGATAAAGGACTTCAAGATGTCGAAGAAAGTGACAATCTCTTTGTAAGCTGCATTTTCTCAACAAAACAAGGGAAATAAACACGTTTTGTGTTCATGAAGGAACTAAGAAACCTCACAAAGGTATCACGAGGCGTTTTTATCCTAGAATAAAGTCGAATATATAGCATGCGGCAAAACTATGAAGTTCCCCACAGAAAACTTCCATGTCTGATTGCCACTTAGCTACTCACGATTCCTTCACATTTTATCTGTGATAATTCCATTCGCTATAATTGATTTGGATAGAAGTTGAACACTTCTTGGACAAACGAATAGCCAATAAATTTGTCTTGCTGGAATTTTACGTTTTTCCCAAGGTCTGTAGCCTGAGCAATAGCCTAAGGTTTTGCAGCTCAAGCAAACTCAAATAAGGCAATCCACTCTTCCTATTTACAAGTGTTTGTATTTGTTTCGATTGGTTATTTTGAGGTCGATGCAATCATCAACCAATCACAAGAGGATAAAGTACTCACAAACTTGTTGTGTTATAACTATATATTATTTCAAACCTTATAGTATATAGTCAAATGTTTACTGTTTGTTAAAAGTGGTATCTGATTCTGCCAAAATCATGGGTGTCAGTACTTTGTTAGAGCGAATTCATGGGAATGAAAACCACATAAAATAACCGAACTGCAAATAGAAGACATTTACAAATTAATTTGGAAATAACTATTCAACTATATTATGGCATCAGTTATAACAACACTTGCAAATAAGTTAGCACGTCGGTTGAGTGATACACAGGTCCCTTCGTCAGTACGATTCGATGTCGACGGTAAGTTTATGAATTTATTTAGGAAAACATAAAAGTGATTTGAGGTTAACGTGATGCAGTTCAAAATATTTAGTATATGCTTGGTCCTTCAAGTGCGTACAGTCAGAGGATAACTAACAGATTATTTTACGTAATCATTTCGACTAGCTTCTTCAAACTTGTGTGCTTCATAAATACAGCTATCTGGCCTATGTTGGAAACTTATTTCATAATGTTCTATTTCCATTTAGAGCATGGTTTTCCATTAAGGGGCTAGGAATCCAGTATAGGTATCGATAATAAATATTCATCGAGAACTTAAACAAACCTTTTTAGATAAACTAATATATACTTTGATGTAGCGAACAACAATTGGTCTGGCTTTGTTTATAGTTCGTTTCTTTTCAGATTAGTCTTGGAAATGAGATCTACTGTATTGCTGAAAAACTTCTAACCTAAGTTATAGCTAAACATGAAATCAAAGTAAGGTTTTTAAATTCTAAGCAATGAAAAAGTTTCAAAACAGATAGGAAAAAGAAAAATTGAATACACGGGATAAAATAATAACTGTAAGACCAGATAACTTGAACTTTTCAAATAGGAACAAAACTTTCTGATTAAAAGTAGTTATGACTGGTAACATGTTTTAGTGAAACGTATACTTAACGTCATCAGTGGAAGTAGTGATGTGCATTACAAAAATAATCCATGAAGTCTAAAATCTTAAGTCTAATAATGTGATAATTGTGCGACATTTCTACGTAGGGATTGCATCGTGAATGTCCAGTGTTTAGTATATTTGATAATATTGCAATGAACTTGTTTTTTGTAGTCTATCAGTTGCTTTCCAACATACTTTTGCGTAGGAATATTGTTTCACATCGATGTAGCAGTAGCATCAATATTTTCAGTAGGGAAAGTAAGCCACTATGTGAGCAAACAGAGTTCGTACCTAGTTGGATGGAGGCAACAGCAAAGGAGCCCATGTGCCAATAGAGGTTGAACAATTAGATCCAATAAAACAACGGAGAATTACAAATATATCAATAAATAGTAATTATTCTACTAGTTTGAAAATTCACACTTATAAGGAAAAAACGTTCAGTAAAGAGTTGCCCTTTTTTAGCAACGCTATTCTCAAACTATAAAATTACATATAAATATTATATTTACATTGCAACGGAAAAATAGAAGTTTCAGAAAATACTTTTGGACGAAATTCAGTTTTGATTATAAATCAAGAGATCAAGAAGAGAATTACGTGACGTCCAAAACAGTAACCAGGTGCAAACTTATCTGTCATCAGTTTGAATGATGTATTGCAATTCAACCGATTGGTGAGTTTAGTCAGAAATCAAAATTTTAAACGTGAAGGAATGTTATGTGCAAAAAAGAGCAACATAGTAATAAATGGATGACAGAAAAGAATTTGGAAGTGAAATTCTCATATGGATCATGTCGATGACAAATGAAGTGACTCAACATGCTTCTTTATAATGCGGAGTTCAGGCTTTAAAATATGAATTGCTTTGACTTCTACAGTTTGAAAAAGTCCCAGGAGTTAACCTATCATGATGTTTATTTTTTGCATTAGCTGAATGACATACTGTAAATCTCAAGTCCACTGTAGTTTGTTACGGAATGTTGCAAATTCTGTAGGCTTGTCTCGTTAGCACTGGCGATTACGTTCAGATATGCTTCGTCATTTGCCTTAGATTGGGATTAATAGAACATAAAAGTACTTTACTATAATGAAGCTTAGGTAATCAGTCCCTTAAGAATGAAGGCATATAATATTCAATCAATTGTCGATACTTCTACATATATGGTTTACAGAACTGTTAAAATTATAAAAATGTGAATAAATCAAGAACAACAAAAGTAATAGAGTATAGTGGAATTTTTACATGAATAACTTGTTTGTGACCACCCTACATAACCAATAGATGTAGTATAATTAGGAGCTGGATTCAGTGCATAGCCTATTATCTCGACTAATTTCTACTCAATTTTTGCAAAGTAAACACTGCCGGTATCCAAGTTTGTCGTCATTTAGCAATAAATAAATAGTCTAATTGCAGTCACGCTCAAACCTACTAATTTCAGACGCTATTAGAACGGAATAGAGACCAATTATGTCAGTCACTGTAAACAAAGCTTGCACTGCAACATCACAAACACCAGTAATGCTTATAAATTATCTTATTCTCCACTTTTGGATAGTAAGTGAACTCACTAACCGAGATGCATATTAACAGTTATTCTATACTCAAAAATACTATCCGAAAGCCGAGAAGTAGCTGAAAATTATGCAATTAAGTAACGTCATTCAGTTCCACTAAATCTGATATTCTTGTTATTTTCATGTTGATGAAGGGAACCACATACCTGAGAATGCTTTTCAATGTATTACCTTCACAGAGATTACAAATGTGTTCAAAAGCAAACATACAGTTTGATGTGCTAATTAGACTGATACAATATTTTGTCTTTCACTCAATTTAGTAAAAATAACTTTAATAGTTTTGTGTTAACTAAAAAGTGAAAATAGTGAGGATTTAAAATTGATTTCTTATTCGCGTACTACTTAATGGCTAGAAATCTTTTATCTCAGCAAATACCGGTTTGAATCCACTTTATCTACTTTGAATAAGAGCGTCTTTTTGCTATTTCTCACGGCAATTAAAAATATTCTGGTTCTCTACACGTATATGAATTTAAACGATTTCCAGAACATTGAGATACCGCTACATTTAGAGCGATATTTTCCACAAAAGCAAACAGCTTACAGAAAATTCCTTGATTTCTGTCAGTGCACTGATGCTCGACAAGAAACTTCATTAGAATAAAGTGGTGTCTCCAAAAAGCAGTGTTTTCAAGAAGGTAGAAAGACAATCGCCTAAACCTCGCATATTAGCCTAGTGCCTAGAATAAGCCATAGAAATGACTCAGTACTCCTACCATCACGGCTATAAGAAGGAAAGATGAAAGGAGAAAGGATTTAGAATGCAATGTTAACATACCTTTACGAATAGATGGTTACGACCGCTAGCAATAAAGTCTGCTGGAATAATTCATCAGAGTATAACATGGTAGAATTGTTATTCATATCAAGAGGAAATATGGCACACTGGCATTAAAATACAGTATTGGTTGTAACAAAACCAAGTTTGGCCAATAAAATTTAAGAACTGGGATTTTGTGCTGTGCTAATCAACTTTTAAAGTCACATAGCAGAATTTAGGTTCAAGTGATAAGACCCACAAGTAAAGTGCAGATCTTTTCAATTGTTTCATTTGTGATGAGACTTGGAAAGTCAATGAGCTCAAAACTGAGTTGCAGCGAATAAAGTATAGTACTTTCCACTTATTTTTCGACCGAAGAAAATATATATATATGAGTAACAGCTACACCAAAAGCACGATTCACAGATTTTAACTCATACTCAGTACTTGGGAATCAAGAGCATGTTTGATGTTTATTAAGTGTCAGAAGATACTTTTCCAATACATTATCTGTCATGGATCGAAAAGTATTATGACAGTGAAAACGACTAGACTATTCGTTAACTTTCAAAGTTAAAGAAGTGAGTAGTAAATATTAACTTCCTTATATTCTGAATCACTGAATTGCACTGAAAAATTTGTGGTGAGTGATACACTAAACACGCGACTCCTAGAAGTGAGACCTATTGGGAATGGTTTGAAAAATGGAGGATTTTCGTGGAAATTAAGCATCGCAAACCTGAGGCTGTTGGGCGAATTTCTGTGGAAACGTTAAGATAAGGTTTAAAGCTGCTAGCCTATATTCTTCAGATCCCAGAAGATGAAATAATTTCATCATGGCAGCAATTCCTCTATTTTGATGTTGATGTTGTAAGCGTATTTGGTAAAAGATGATTATTTCTTGGAAAAAATTGCTATGACAATGTGTACCTTTCAATTACTTGTTAAAAGAATTGGATGTCCATTCACGCTTGTTCTAATTCATAGTTTTCTTCCGAAGAAAAAGCCCTCTTTTAAATATTTTACTCAGGGAGTTTTTTCAGCATAATATAGTTCTCATTGCTGAAAATGTGTATTTTTATCTGTATTCTAGGCCCTCCGAGAAACTCACTACTCAGGCGTCAAAGCGGTAAGTGGAACTTCTTATGCTATTCATACATCTTGTTAACTTTTTATCATTTCGTAAAAAGTAAGACCGTTTTCCATTTCTTTGTCATTGTGGATGGAACTTAATATTCCTGTTATTATACTCAAGCAACGTTCTAAGTAGTTACCAGAAAGTTATGCACTTGACCATCTAACTGTTTTAAGGTCGAACAAGTATCAATAAAAGCGTGTCACCTATTTAATTCATATTTCACCGATGTTTTCTGAGATCCCAAGGCTTGCTAACATCAGTTTCCTTTCCGAAATGTCGTCATTGGAACAAGTGCGAGCACAGGTTATGATATGTTTCATCTATGCTCATTAGTGTAAAATGATCTTGAGACATATATGCGTTCTATAAATTAACTTCGCTAAGGCAAACTACAGATCTGGGTTAATTCTAGATAATACCAGATTATTGGGAAAAAACTGTTTCAACTTTGGCAAGTGTTTCGTTTTTATGATTTTAGCTATCATGGAAAGCATACTTGATAATCAGCGGTGGAAATAACAAGAAAATCATATACGTGTTTCACAGCGAACCATTGTTCATCCTTAATATGAAAATAAAGTCACTGACTATATCAGGGCATACCCTCAGGAGCTCATATAAAACCACGAACTGATCATTTTGTTTCAAGGCAAACAACAATAGAAAATAATGAGTTATGATATCCAACTGTACCAGCTAAACATGGAGTGTCTCTCACAACTGAGTAGTGTAATGTGTTACGCGCTGTCTTTTAATTAATGGATTTTGGATTTCAGTATGGATTTCATTAACACCCACTATCGCTCCCTAATATCGTATTTACATCTTGATGAAGAGCACGTAAACAAATGGCTTAGTAATTCTAGCAGAGACTGAAATCTTACAAGGAATTATACAACAAGGTATGCAATGTTTAATTGAAACTAGAAGCTGAAATGGTAATAATAGCAGTGATATTTTCATACTTCTCCCACTCTGTCGAACTGCTATAATGACAGCTTAAGAAATGCACTCCGATATCTTGTGACTATAATACAGAAATATCTAGACACCCAAGCAAGTTGTAAGAATACATTCAGCCAAAAAGTTTTAAAAATAATAGGTGACCAATGCGATAACAAACATTAACACTAAAACTATTGAAACCTCGTGCATCGTACACTTATCTAATTGGAGATTGATTGAAAATGCACTGAGAAGACCATTTGCGGACATCACGCGCCAGGTCATGCCATGCCAGTCCCTCGAGTGGAAGCCAAATGGGAAACGACGAGTTGAGCGTCGGTGCCAAGAGTGATATGGAGCAGATCATGTGAGAAAGAAATGAAAGGTTGTGGGCAATCGTGGTGCCAGGTTGAAAAAACTGGAGAGAGGAGAGTGCAATGTAGGTGTGCTACTGAAGCCTTATGTTCCACTAGGAACCCAAGGGGAAAATAAATATAAATAATAGTGATATACAAAAATAATCACTAAGAGTCTCAACTTGAAATTTCAACTATACTTTAGTAGGTACTCTTTAAAAAAAACCATAAAAATAATATTCCCTCCTAAAAGGCGTACGGTTTATTCGCTGAAGTTTGAATTTGAGTCACACATGCAACCCTTTACAAATTGCTTATTTATCTGTTCATTTATATAAAAAATTCTAACACCAGCTACTTCCACATGAAGATACAAAAACTCTAGGCTATATGTGATACGAGAAAGTGCCAAATTGCTTCGAATATGATGCAACTGATATTTAAATCCATTGAGATAAACTTCTGGAACAAAATCCAGCTAATGATTAAAAGGTGGTTTTCGGATATTCCAATAAATTTGATCATGATGGCACGTTCCATGCTTAGTTAGCCTACTATAGATCAGTCAGTTTAAAAAGAACAGTAAACATGTCGAATTCAAAAGTTTTTGTAGCCTTCAGCATAACAAAATCAATTTATATCTTTTTTTGTTCTGTCAAAGAGGGGTAGAACTACTGTTTTCACTAGACAAAATATTTGCAAACGTCTGTGAGACTTGAAAATTTTTCCACATGAAAAAAGTGTTTAACTTATCGTACCATAGTTAGAATTTCAATATCTCCTTGAAAACACTTAGACGTTTTTTTATCACACTAATATTTATGTGGTTCGAAGACCATGATCCCTTAAAATTCTCAAATATTGAATGATAGAGTTAGATAGCGGAGCTAAAACTTGCCACCATAGTTATATGGTTTATGTATGCTAAATATAACCCCGCCAAAAATTCTGCGTTACTTACATGGTGCCTGGATGTACCACCTTTTAGGGACAATCGATTTGCTTGCAGTTCGCGTTCATTTTTCAGGCTGTGTTTTAATAAACTACCTAAGAACTCGTTACAATATATTCAGATTTTATGACAGTTGTTGAGAAGTACATATGGCGACTTTGCCGAATTTTATCCTTTCCATTTGCTACAAAGAATATATGTGGCATTTTGTGATGGAACTGTTCTTCTGTTCAAAGATTAGCATAATGTAGTCAATCTGATAATAAGAAACACAGCTTTATATTTTTCAAGATCCCGTTTTAGTAGCCTGTTTCGTTTAATTTCCTGTTTGCATTTATAAATCTCAATACATATTTGATGGGCAAGTTTTGCATATTAATTTACTTCAGGAATATAAACACAACACTTTCACTGAATTTTGCAACTCCTAAGGAAATATTTTCCTTGGATAGTTGTCTATTCGCTAAAATAACTCACGCAAAGTCAAAAATCATTGTGTTTGCTTTCCGTATATCTTGTATATATGCGTAATATATACAATAAATCATGCTTGCTTCCTACATCTTCGGATTTGACGTATTAGCATCCACAGCACAGATGGTTACTTTGGAAGTCTGCTGAGCTTAGAGTCAAATTTTTCACGAAAACTTTTCCCGCGCTGTCAAAAAACACCAAATATTTTGCAATAACAGCTTTAAACTTGGATAATATGACTACTAGAAAATCTAGCAACATATGAGAACCATACTTGAGCTCACATGAGTGTTCTTTCCCCTCAACCTCGCTCGAAAATCACGAATTAGTTTTTGAAAAGCTTTTTTCTTTTAAAGAGTGACTAATTTTTTAGGTAGGATGCTTTGAGTTGAAACATGCCAAACTGCCCCAGTTTGAATGTCTTAGGTGGGTTTTAGTGTGGTGTATCTTCAAAATATTTTAAAAAGTATTGACCAAAACCACAGACAGAAGGAGTATAAACATAATATCATGTCCATGACTTATTTATAAAAAATCTGCAATCAAAACATGGATTTATAGCTTAGTAGTTTTCTGCGAAATTATCTTGCTGATTAAGACTAAAATATTTCAGCATTTAAGTGTTCTTGGTATCACATAAAATGCATCAGCTCATACAGTCAGTCAACTTGGTGACCATATTGCAAGGTTAATCTATGGTATTCAGTGGAATAACAAGAAGTCAGTTGGAAAGTTCTTACTACTCAACCATCGTTCACTTTACATTCCTGATTACTAAAACTTGATAAATCGGTTTGGACAGAATGTTGGCACACAGAAAAAGAGACTGTGTAATAAATATAAAATATATATAGATAAGGATAGTCTTTAAAGTGATACATGTCAGAAGAAACAGTGAGAAATACTAATGGCCTTCTGTCATCGTCTGTTACAATCATCAAATGATCAGTGGTTAGGTGTAGAGAAACGTTTTTGATCATTACTGCAAATTTAGACTATTTACAAGTGTAAACAGCTTCCGTACATCATTATGTTCTTGCTTCCTTAATTGTTAGTGGTCAATTTTTAGCTGATCTAACTTAAAAATATGTCCAGTCTAAACCATATGATTCATAGTTGTTACTACCTCCTTTTAGATCAAATAGGACGAATATCTTTCAAACTTTTACAAGGCCCTTCTTCGAAAGAAACTGTTGAAACAAGATTAGTCAAAATTATTTCATTTCTTATTGCTTGAGTTATATTATTGTGCTGTTTGTCAAATACTTGATAACCTTGAACATATGATTTAAATTTGAAGCACAACATTCATCACAGTATACTATTCATTCCAAAGAAAATGTTAGGGTAGAGAGTAATAATGTTGATAAGCTTGCTATCACCTAATAAAGCATTATTACAGATAAACTTATCTTGTTACATTGAAATATTCCCACTGGTCATTGTTAGAGTACAATTTGGGTAGTCTCAAAGTGTTATCCTGTGTTAGTTCTTGTTTTTGATACAGAACACTAATTGCTGGATATGTTTCCACTGGTCCCACTGACTATCTATCATTTAAAATGCTTGAAAAGGATTCTGTAATATGGATAAAGATTTAGTTTATCACAGGGCCGTCAAAGATGATTAGCAATTCTAAGTAAGGCTTGTGTATGGAAAAGGTTGAAACAAAACTACATTTGATAATACAACCACTGTTAGCAATAATTTCAATAAAATAGTCAGAGGGTAACGGACTTCACTTATACTAAGTGACAGCTTCAACGAAACTAGACACGGGTAAAATAAGAAGATAGTTATATGTTACTAAGGTGTAAAAATGAAAAAAAGAAGTAACATTTGTTCATTGGAAGCAGCGACAAATATTAAATGGTTCTTGTACTTAGAAATGGAACGTTCACTGTTTCGTAATATTGCTATCGCAAATTCAACTTTAAAAAACTGTTTTCTTGTTTTCGTTAAGTACCAAAAATCAAAATTATCCCATGGCTGTATTAACTAGTTATTTTATGTTTACGGAGAACTCGATATAATGTTTCACCTAACTTCATCCTTAACAGCTAATTCTAACTAACCGGCAAATCCAATTGTCTGGTTCTACACGTTAGGTTACTTTGTGACCAGGAACAACTAAATTATTACATGCATAATGATGCACTGAAGTCAAGTAAACCTTCACTGAGTTCTGAAGGAAAAGGCGGTCAACTGCATCAATTAAAATCTTGGAAAAAATTCCACATAGCTAAACACAGCATATGGCTTGC